AAGGACACTGTTTTAGAAATCCGTTTCTTGCCAGCTGGGAATTACCTGAAGCATGCTCAATCATGTTGCTTGTTAAGTAATCTGAATATGCCCATGTTATGCAGTGTCTCACAAGCAGATAAGGTTTCATGAGTGGAGGTCATCTGATCTAGGATCAGATTTATGAATGGTCTTCTCCCATTCGTTGTGAAATTCCCTTTCTGGGACAAAAATCCCAGGCAGAATTTTGGTGAATTCTACATCTCTATATGAATGGATGTTTATTTGCGGTTTACACCTCAATGACACACTCATGGGAGTGTGAGTCACAGCACTGCGCTCAATGACATTGGATAACGCTTTCTTTATCGTGAAAACGAAGAGAAAATAAATAACACCAAATGTGAAACTGTCCAAATTCAGCAGAGGTCATTGTACAGCTGAAACCCCGGGGTCGGTCTTCTGGGAACAGTTAAGCAATTGAGACTAAAAGAAAGCAAAATAGCTTCATTGCTGTGATGAATCACAGACTGGTCTGTCTGGCCAGTGTTCCACAGGGGTGGACTGAATACGGCTGTTTCAGCTGAGTCAAGGGAGCTGTGAAAATATGCAGGAAGTGATCCTGTTTTTCTCATCCCGTGAAAACTTCATCCCACTTTTCCTATTGGACCAGGACCGTTTATCTTTATTAAATGTAATTAAGTAACAGAAGAGTCCAATCATGTTACTGTCAAAAGAAGAAAATTTGTCATGGTTTAAGTGAAAGATCTAATTTAGCTATCACTATAAAACAAAAAACAAAGCACAAGCAGATGTATGAAAACATATGCACTGCCATCAAGTGGTCAAGATCTGTAATGAACATCTTTATGGATGAGGAATGACACTTTGCTGAAGCTGCCCGAAACCTGCCCTTTGACCCATTTCCTTTTATTTAAAAAACTTGTCAGTCTATTCTGGTGGGAAAAGATCCACATCTGAGATTTGTACATGGAAATGGACATTACATTAGGGCACTTATAATATGATCATAATTGCGATGAGTTATTATTTTCATTACATATTTTAATCTCTAAAGAACATGAACTGTATGTCAGTGCATAAATAAAGAACATAAATGATAATATTCTAATAGGTATATGCTACCAATTTAAATGAGTAAACAAGTAGGAGACAATGATACAATACTGATATTTTCCTCAGGTCAGCAAAACTACATTAAATGTGGACATCATTTATCTCGGATGCTCCGCTAGTCGGCGTACTACTGCTGCTGCAACTCTTCTGTAAGCCTCGGCCTGCAAAACAGGCAAATATGCATGAATATATTAGAAAACGATTTCATGAATCTTTTTTCAGATCAGTTCTATAAACGTTTGTTAAAAATGGGAAACTCTGTCTGACTGAAGTCTGCCAGCTAATTAGTCTCTTAGTGGATTATCTGTAAACATCTTTTATGTGAAATATCTTATTCAGGTCAGTACTAAATAAACAATAACATGCATTTTGTATGATCCTTCTTATTTTGGTAAAATAATTAACATTTTGAAGATTCTGCAAGGTGTATGTAAACCTTTGACTTCAACTGTATATTATATACAACAAATATACAATATTTGCATTTCAATTTTGTCATTTATCAATGCATGTTACCAAAGTGTAGTGCACCCAAAGATCATGGAAGGCTTACAGTAAGTAACTAATGGAAAACAATGAAAAGCTAGACAGGAATCCAACATGATTCACTTACTTCTGGACTATCTGGGGATGACACAACCACGGGCTGTCCCTTGTCTGATGTTTCTCTTATGTTGAGATGAAGAGGAATGTCTCCTGGAGTGAGAAAAGAAAACCTTGTCTCCTCACAGATTGGCCAATCCACTTGAATCAAATCTAGTTACATACAATTTGACCTCATAATATGTATTACATTTGATAAATATCAAAGTTTTTTATGTGCTTAAATGCTAAAACAGTCAGTCATAATGTAATACTTTATACAGAATGGCCTTACCAAGCATCTCAACACCAAGGGTCTGAGCCAGCTCTTTAGCCCCATCTGAGCCAAAAATGTGTGTTTGATGATTGCACTTGGGACACTGGAAAACACTCATGTTCTGAACCAGACCCAGCACCTGAATGCACAAAGCACATTCTTAAACGTAAATTTATATTAAAAAAATAAATAAAATACTGATACCAATCAGGTATTTTCTGTCGGAAATAACTGTCACAGAATTAACACAAAATTAAAGATTATGATATTAATATTTTTGATGCCATTTATATTGCTTCAATGTAGGTCTCTATCAGCAATTCAGCATGAACCCAACCTGCTTAAACTCTATTACTTTCCACTATAATTTAATGACAAGTTGGAGCTGGAGCCTTTAAATACAAAAGCAAATGCTTTACCTGAACGTTAACCTTTCTGAACATCTCGGCACCTCTTCGTGCATCTAGCAAGGCAATGTCTTGAGGCGTAGACACAATTACAGCACCTGAAAGACCAAATAAACATCAGTTTAGCATAAATTATACAACTAAGCTTGATGTTTGGTTACATTATGTTTAAGAGCCGTAAAGGCTGATTTCATAATGCATGTTCTGAATACTAGAAAACATTAATGCATCCAATTCTCTCCCACCTGATACCAGCAATGACAATCAAACCTTAAATGACAATCTGAATTGGAAAGATCCATGGCGCTGTGTTGTGACTGACATTAGGTAGAATGCTTCTTTCAGATTGTAATAGATGCCAAAAAGAGGCATACAGACCATAAATCAGCTGTAACACATTTGTTTATTTACCTGCTATAGGAATATTCTGAGTAATAGACAGTTGGACATCTCCAGTTCCAGGTGGCATATCAATCACTAGGTAATCCAGATTCCCCCAATCTACCTGCATGGAAAAAGTCATTATGGTAGTGAAAGGAACAACAATGTTGACTAAATTTGATTATTTTCTTAGACTGCAGAAAATGACACAATTTCACATGAAACTAGGGTAGAGAATAATTCATGCACAATCATTCAAAATGTGCCAATGGATGGAAATTGAACTCTATTGAAGAAATCACATCTATTTGTGCTGGATGAGGACAACTGAGAAAAAAAATAGATATTTGACAAAATCCTATTATCAGCAGCAATTTCCAAATCCAAATTGCACACCTGTCTAATGAGTTTCTCAATAGCTGACATCACCATCAGACCCCTCCACACAATAGGTGCAACCTCTTCAACCAGAAAGCCCATTGACATACTGTAGAGGACGGAGAAGCAAAAAGTAAAACCTTAAAACATTTAAACATTGTATAAAAGAAAAAAAAAACTAACATTCAAAAGTTTGCGGTCAGTGAGATTTTTAAAAAATAATTTAATGCTTCTATATATGATATTTATGTTACAGGAATCCTGAAAAATGTCGGTTTCAACAAGCTGCACAACTGTTCGACATAATAATAAGAAATGTTTCTTGAGCAGCAAATCAGCATATTAGAATGATTTCTGAAGGACACTGAAGACTGGAGTAATGATGCTGAAAATTCAGCTTTGACATCACAAGAATTATTTACATTTTAAATGACATTGTTACTGTAATTTTGATCAAATAAACGCAACCTTGGCGAGCATAAAAGACTTCTTTTAAATACATTTTGAAAATCTTTTGAACAGCAGGCTATATAAAATAACACGTTTGCACTATAACTATTAATCAGTCATGTACTTACCAAGGAATTCCAAAATTCACAAGTGGCCTCATTAAGTTCTCTGAAAATAAAGAAAAAAGGATCAGACTGACAAACTAATTTTCTTACAAAACAAGATATATTTTGTTTACAAAGCAAATGTGGCCACAAAACTCACTGTCGGTTAATTCAGGGTTTCCTTTTAGGTTCATTAACTTTGGAACGGAGGGGCCATAGACATCAGCATCTAGAATACCCACCGATTTACTCTACATGCAGCAGTGGTACGAAAAAAAGATATTACTGAAGGCAAATCGTCTAATAAAAAGTTAAATCATTTTGTGGTTTCAATATAGTGTCTGAGATAGGGTTATCTGAATGTCACCTGATCGTTAGCCATAAGTCCAAGAGCAAGATTCACTGTGAAGAAATTAAACTAAATGAGGTTTTCAGAGAAATGCTGGTAGTTGATTAAAGAGTAAAACAAACAGATTGGAAATTATTGTGGCATGAAACACACAAAGGTCAATGAACGCAAAAGACAACAGACCTGCTGTTGTGGACTTTCCCACCCCTCCTTTCCCTGATGCAACAACAATGACCTCTTTGACTCCAGCTATGGGCTTTTGTTTTGGCAAACCTCTGGCCATGTGCTGCCTCTGTCTCTCCTGTAGAGCTCGTTCACCAGCACCTGAAGTCTAAACAGAAAAAAGTGGGAGAATATGTGTCTGTAATACAGTCTAAACTGTAATGTCGTTGGGTTTATGCATCTATACACCATTAATAATTAGGGCACCTGTAATCAATAGCCATATTAAGTTTTACTCCATATTAAGAGTTTTACTTACCTTGAAGCGGATTTCATGTCTATTTTGATGTGCAGGAACAAATCTGCTAGCCAAAAGTGGTGTGCCTATAATGTTTGAGGACAATGTATATATTTGCAAAAGCCTTTTGTAGCTGTCGTGTAATTTAACCATCTTATAAAGCTCCCAGAGACGAGATTTCAGACAATGTCACGAACAAAACAAAGACAGAGACACCGCTGTGGTTTCCATGTGACACTCGTTTCTATCGGTTTAGTGCTTGGTTACGTCTTTGAATAAATCATATAATATATCACAAATACAGTGTAATTTTTTAAAACAAAAATATAGATGGCATGAGCTGTCGTGAAGTCGCATCGCACTGTCGACTCTTGATGACGTATATTGTTTATTCTCACGCGGTAGCGGAACCCCCGGTAGTTCCATGGTTAATTTCAAAATAAACTTATATTATTTATGTTACCTCGGAATTAAATTGATGATCACTGTCATTGAAATCGGCAATTTCCGGCATATTTCGTAGCAATGTCCGAGAGAACAGATAACGGCATGAAAGCGAGAGTGATTCTCCAGCAGTGTCTGCATGCACGACTGCAGGTCAAACCTCCAGATGCTGAGAGTGAAGCTGAATGGGTTGAGGTATCGGGAAAATATTTAAATAATTAATCTTAACCACAATTCTAGTTTTTGTCGAACTAATGACCTGCCTATTGTTCAGATTAATAGGGGAATGGTTATCTACATCTGCTTTTTCAAAGGTGCAACTGAAGATATAATCCCCAAAATGGGTATGCAATTGCTCCTGTCTCACATTTGCAATAAAACATGCATACATTAATTCTGAAATGTAATATACACTGTATTTAATTTACACCTGTTTTCTCACTCAGTGAACACATTGCTGAACACGAAGCTTTGTGAGACAGAATCTGGAAAGTACACTTCAGTCCTTCAGCTACCAGGCAGTGTTCTCATAGTACCGCAAGCTATGCTTGGAGGAAAACCAAAAGGAAAAGGGATGCAGTACCATGGCAACATTGGGAAAGATGAAGGCTTGAAGCTCTACGACAGCTTTGTGTCTCATAGTCAAAATGAACTCTCAACCTGCAAGAACAGTGACACTGTTACAGAGCTCAAACATGGAACGTATGGGAACAGACAAGTCCTGAAGCTGGATACAAACGGACCTTATACTCATCTAATGGAGTTTTAAGAATTATACAATTTCTGCTTGTAGATCAGTAATATATGAGTATATTAAGGACATTGACCTATACGGATCATTCAGAAGCATGAAAAGATTGTTAATACACATTTTTAGCTCCAAATTACAATTTATGCAATGCATACACCTGGTGCCTGTGTCTATGTCTGTTTTCTATCTATCTATCTATCTATCTATCTATATTGTACTTGCTTATCTAATAAAACAGTCCATAAATCAGTCATAATGTTTGTTGATTTGGCTGCTATTTAAATATAGTTCCAGATGCAATATCAATCACAAGATAATCCAGATTTAATCAATCTACCTACATATAAAAAGTCATTACAGTAAAGGGGAAATAATGCATAAATTGAATAATTTTCTTTGGACTGCAGAAAATGACACAAATTGTATTAGTAGTAGAAGTATACAGCAAATTATAGTTTTTTTTTTTTTAAGATATATTTATATATTATATATATTATATATTTTTTTCTTGTTCGCATAGGATAATGCACATACTTTATACACACACACACACACACACACTAATTACCATAAACCTAAAGAGATTGTGCTTTAAAAATAGACATGCTACTTATTCCATTAGCAGAGTTAACTAACTTTTATATTAAACTGAAAATAGAAAACATTGTTTTTTTTCCTATTAGACCCTCACAAATCTTGCTCGACGTGTCGTTTTTCTCACTCACATTTGTGACCCTGGACCACAAAACCAGTCTTAAGTCGCTGGGGTATATTTGTAGCAATAGCCAAAAATACATTGTATGGGTCAAAATTATCGATTTTTCTTTTATGCCAAAAATCATTAGGATATAGAAGTAAGTATCATGTTCCATGAAGATATTTTGTAAATTTCCTACCATAAATATATCAAAACTTAATTTTTGATTAGTAATATGCATTGCTAAGAACTTCATTTGGACAATTTTATAGGCGATTTTTTGCACCCTCAGTTTCCAGATTTTCAAATAGGCCTAGTTGTATCTCGGCCACATATTGTCCTATCCTAACAAACAATATATTAATGGAAAGCTTATATATTAAGCTTTCAGATCTGATCAGAGAATGCCACGCCACGCATTGGATTTACTGTGGCCGCATGTCCCTCTCCTGTCCAGCAGGTGACAGTAAAGTGCAGACATTTCCAATATCTCCCAAACCAACAATCCAGAACAGTTTATGGACATGCACATGCACAACAAACATGAGCTGGAAAGCATTAGGATCTTTGTAGTGATGAGCAAGATAATTTCTCATTCAGCGACATGTCAACACGACCAGACTGCAAGGTCTTAAATCCTGTGAGGATTAATTGTTTATTAATTAAACTCTGCGACTGAAGAAACTATCTTTATACGTTACTGGATTCGCTAACGTTACTTTGATAATGACTCATTGTCTTCAAGAAAGCTGCTAATGGACGGCAGACAGAAGGAGCATTACACGCAAATACAAGACACATCAGCTGTAAGACATCGAAAAACATGTAAGACAAACGAGGGGGCTGAGTGCCTTTCCCAGCCTTCTAGTGAGACTTCTAATGCGGCGAATAAAAGGATCCCCAAACGAGGAGGACACCTCAGTTCTCCCTCCAGAGATGACCATGTGCCAGTTTATACTCTGGTTCTGGTGCTTGTGCTCTCTGTATGTACACGCTTTTACAAAATCACTGAGCCTCCACATGTATGGTGAGTATTAGACAGTAAGGGTAAAATTGTGATTGTAAACCTACTATCAATGCACGATCAGTGAACATTATGGTCCATTTGCAGTTGGGATGAGACTCATTTCGGGAAAATGGGAAGCTATTACATTAACCGCACCTTCTTCTTTGATGTCCATCCACCCCTTGGAAAGGTATGGGTTTCAGACCCCTGCTAGTTGTAAGATCATGGGAATTATTTAGTCAGTTTTTGTGTAGTTTGTAGTGTGATTCAAAAGAATGCTTCTACACTCCTCACTCAGATGCTGATCGGCCTCGCTGGATTCCTGACAGGCTATGATGGGACCTTTCCCTTCATAAAACCAGGGGACAAATATGAGCACCACAACTACTGGGGGATGAGAGCGGTAAATCCCAGTTCAATTTATGCATATCTTTAAGACGGTTAATTTTAAGTAATTTTATTTTTCAATTAGTTTTTAATCAAATTTCATATTATATTTGAAATATGTGACCATGGACCACAAAACCAGTCATAAGGGTCAATTTTTCGAAATTGAGATTTATACATAATCTGAACGCTGAATAAATAAGCTTTCCATTGATGTATTCATTTGTTATGATAGGACAATATTTGGCCGAGATACAACTATTTGAAAATCTGGAATCTGAGGGTGCAAAAAAATCGAAATATTGAAAAAAATCGCATTTAAAGTTGTCCAAATGAAGCTGTTAGCAATGCATATTATCAATCAAAAATTAAGTTTTAATATATTTACAGTAGGAAATTTACATATTGAGAAAATCGCCTTTAAAGTTGTCCAAATGACGTTCTTAGCAATGCATATTACTAATCAAAAATTAAGTTTTGATATATTTACAGTAGGAAATGTACAAAATATCTTCATGGAACATGATCTTTACTTAATATCCTAATTATTTTTGGCATAAAAGAAAAATCAATAATTTTGACCCATACAATGTATTTTTGGCTATTGCTACAAATATACCCCAGCGACTTAAGACTGGTTTTGTGGTCCAGGGTCACATATAGCTTTTGCTTATTAAGCTAGGAAACAGTTATTTTAAATTGCAATAATATTTCAAAATATGACTGTTTTACTGTATTTTGATCAAATAAAACTTGTTTGAAAAAAACCTAAACCTACAGGCCCCAAACTTCTAAATTATATTGTATAATAAATACTATATTGAAGCATTGTGTAATGTGTATGTGTGTGTTCATTATATAATTAATATTTTTTATTAAATTATATTACATTATCATGGACATCATACACCAAAACACAAATTTCTTTTTAATTAAACCATGCAAAATTGCAGCTGAAAGATGAAATTAAAGAAAAATGCAAATATATATTTTTGGAAGTTGTATTTGAAATATACTTGGAGGTCCAAAAGTTATTCTAATTATGTATATGATGCCTCTTTATTTTATGTTGAATAAGAATTGTACTTTCCAAGAAATTGCCGTTAGCTTTTCTTTGCATTGTATTATTCTTCAAATGTGAGCTTTAATCCCTGTGATGAATTTGTGTTTAGTTCTGTGCAGCTCTTGGTTCCTGTCTTCCTCCTTTTGCCTTCCTTATTGTCCTGGAGCTGTCACATTCTACGCCAGCAGCGCTCATCGCAGCCTCTCTGCTTATCTTTGGTGAGCGTGGTAGTGATCATCAACACAGAGCTGACCTGTATTGAGTGAGGGCATTACGATGATGATCTAAATCTAAATCCACTGATGTATTTTACAACAGACACTGGCTGTATCACCTTGTCTCAGTACATTCTCCTGGATCCCATTCTAATGTGTTTCATCATGGACTCTGTTCTCTGCATGGTCAGATTCAACACACAGAGACTCAGGTAGAGGTATCTGAAGCATCTCTCTATGAAGCTTTGCTGGTCGAGTTTATGTACCTAATATAGAGCAAATTTTCATTCTCGTCTCTAGGCCTTTCAGCTTTTCCTGGTGGTTCTGGCTGCTTCTGACGGGGGTCTGCCTCTCTGGCTCTCTGGGGGTAAAGTTTGTAGGGCTGTTTGTCATCCTCTTGGTGGGAATTAACACAGCATTCGATCTGTGGAGGCTGCTTGGGGACCTCAGCTTGTCTTTGGTATGAATGAGAACCTGTTACAAGATTGAATATATTCTCAAATATACACTGTTCAAAAGTTTGGGATCAGTAAGATTTTTAATGTTTTTGAACAATATCTCTTATGTTCAACAAGGCTGCTTTTATTTGATCAAAAATACAGTACAAACACCATATTGCAATGTTACATTATGAAATATTATTACGGTTTATGTAAATTTACTTCAGTGTCACATGATCCTTCAGAAATCATTCTAAATTGTTGATTTGCTCAAGAAACTTTTCCTATTATTATTAATGTTGGAAACAGTTGTGCTGCTTAATGTTTTTGTGGAAACCGTGATACTTTTTTCAGGATTCTTTGATGAATAGAATTTTTTAAGAACAGCATTTATTTGAAATAGAAATCTTTTGTAACACTGTAAAAGTCTTTACTGTCAATTGATCAATTTAATGCATCCTTGCTGAGAAAAAAATCTTAAGAATTTCACTTTATTTAATCAGAAACACAGTCTAAATATTATTTGTATATTTTGCTGTCATTTTATTAGAAGTAGGCCAACAGCGCCCCCTAAGGAATTAAAACTCCTTATGGAACAGGCATTAGGACCCGGGGGAGGCTGCCTGCTGCCACTGCACGTGCTATTACTGTTTACTCTATCACACACCAAAGGTCATTCTGTAGGTGCATTCTCAGTTTAAACGCAGCAATCCAAAAGAGTGAATCTAATCACCATTCAGGCAAAACTTTGCTTCAAGAATGAGCCACAATGCTGACGTGATCTAATCGCTAGCACACCCTGAGCACATGCGGGTTAATGTTAAGAACAGCATTTATTTGAAATAGAAATCTTTTGTAACACTGTAAAAGTCTTTACTGTCAATTGATCAATTTAATGCATCCTTGCTGAGAAAAAAATCTTAAGAATTTCAAACTTTTAAATAGGGATGCACGATATTGGATTTTTGCCGATATCCGATATGCCGATAATTTTCAACTCATTTTGGCCGATAGCTGATGCCGATACCGATATATAATTATTTTTAATTTTGGTTAGTTTTTAACAAGAACTTATTTGTTAGAATTAAATAAACAATAATAAAGTTCTTTTGACAAGATTTGAAAATAACTATAAATAAACTATATATTAATCACTGAATCACTTTTTCAGAAAGATGCAGTGGTAACCTTAACATTTTATTTTATTATTTAAAGGGGTCATATGATGCGATTTCATTTTTTCCTTTCTCTTTGGAGTGTTACAAGCTCTTGGTGCATAAAGAAGATCTGTAAATTTGCAAAGACTAAAGTCTCAAATCCAAAGAGATATTCTTTATAAAAGTTAAGAGTCAGCCACATCCCCCTAAAACGGCTCGTTCGAACACGCCCCCACATATCTTAAATGGTCTAAAGCGAAGGAGTTGTAA